TTCTGATACTTCAATATCATATCAGAAACATATGTGATAGTTGAATTTCACATAACCACTTAAGTTATATGCTACTAATATCTTGAACTTAAGCTCATAAAAGAGGAAACCAAATAAATTCCTCATTAAAGGACTAAAGCTCATGGGTTAGGAGGGAATCTTGGAGATTTGGCGTCTTTTGAGACCATAAAGAGCCAGCCTTAATTTACCATTTTTAATTCCCCTAATACTTTTACAACTGATTAAGATCTTCTCTATTTATAAGGTTTCCGCAAAAGAGAGATCCTATCTAGTTACTTTGGTTATAATCTTCTTAATTCTTTATTGTTTTCTTATCTAAAAAAAAAAATTCTTTATTGTTTTCTTATTCAAGTCAATATTTAATTTCTTACGTAATTTATACAATTAATTTAGAAAATTTATTTGCTTGCAATGCATATGACCTACACTATAAATACACCTTCAATTCATGGTTGTACTCACTCAAATTTAAAGGAATAAATTACAAAGTTTCTTTTAAATAAGTGAGGTGTTCATCATTCTTGTTGAGATAAGAATTTGATCAACTTATCAAGATACTCTTTTGTTGTCTTCTTAATTCTTTTTATTTTTTGAATTACCTTAGTTCCTATAATACAATTCATAATGGGTTAAGTAAAAAAGGTTTATTTAGAATTTAAATTTTTGATGCTATTTGAGTATTATTTGAGTTTTGAATTGTACTGTTGATTCTGAGTTCTGCAACAAAAAACTCCATTTAAGGTTATAGTTTATTTGAGTTTTGGATTACCCTGTTGATCTTGAGTTCTGCAACAAAAAGCTCCCTTTAAAGTTATAGTTTTTGTTCGAACCATTCTTATGAATAGGATGAACACCAAAGAAATTCTCCAAAGTCAAAGATCTCATATGTGTTCCCCCATTATTCTGACGCGTGGAAGTTGTGGAATAAATTTTTCTTTGTTTGGGCTTGTGTGGGTGCATCCATCTAACTTTTAGATTTTCATTTCTACTACCTTAAGAGTTATAGAAAGGACAAAGGAGCATAAGGTATTATAGAGAGGGCCCATTTTTGCTAGTTTGTGGGCCAGCTAGTTAGAACAAAGTGAGATAATTTTCAAGCACATCACCTGTTCTAAAATAGGATGATCCACTCTGCTTCACTTGGGGGAAAAGCACAGGGCTTTTTAAAGAGGATGTCTTCATCTACTCTGTGAAGAGATTGAATATCTATTTTGTCTTAAGGCCTTCTGGTTTTTCTTTTGTATTTATTATTATTATTATTATTTTGTGATGCAGGTGCAATGCAAATAAAATCCCAAGAACTGAAGCCTAATTGCTGTTTGTGGAGTCAGATTCAAACGCTACTTTACATGAACAGTTGGTCCTTCAAATCAAGTCCAAATTCAATAAATCAGGTGTCCTTGGAAAGCCTGGGAAGTCTAGTTTCTAATGCAACAAGCCTTGATTGATTTGGAATTTTCAAAAGAGAGTTATGACGGTATTAAGCAATAGCGCCTAAACTATCCACTTCTAAAGATAATACTTACTAATATGTCAAAGTATCTTAAAATCACTAGGCTAGCTGCAAGAATGAAAATAAGTACTTTACTCTTATATTTTCCTATAATTGGAGGATTGTTCCGAGGCATTTTATATCTGTTTGACACTAATGATGATAGAGATTTGAATATTAATAGAAATTGAACAAACTTGATGCTTTGTTTTCAAACAAGTTTTATATCCTTTCAGTAGATTCTATTGAGTGGTGAGTTTTTTTTGTATTTCCATATTCTTTAATGGATTTCTATTGAGTGATGAGTGCATTTGTCCTATATTTATGAGATTTTGGGATTCTTAGGGTGGTCGCTCAACACTTTTCATTAATTTACCAATTTTGTTTTCAAAAAACACGTTTGGTTTGGAAGGCTATTTCTTTATTTCCCCTTAATTGTTTAAGGTAATTCTTTATGTGCAATCAAAGTTCAAAATGTGAACTTCCATTCTCTCAAGTTTCACATCTTACTTATCTGTTTTACTCAAGAAGAATAATACTCCCTATTAGAATATCACAAAATATTTTACGGAATATTCTTTATAGTTATTAGTTGATTTCCTATCATTAATAGGGTGATTTATGTTTCATATATAGATTCCTCTTCTATGTACATTTACACCTAACTCTATGTAATGAAATGCATGTAAATATTCAAAATTCACTTCTCTAATTATTACATGGTATCAAAGTTAGGGTTAGAGTTAGGGTTTTAAGGGTCAAATTACATCAAGCCAAAAGAATGGTTGAACAACTCATTGCTGACGCCAAAGGAAGACAACCACCGATCTCCGACCAGTTCAGAGTGTGGGCAGTACGGTGGTGTACGCGGGAGAAGCCAAGGATAACAGTTCGCGCGGCAGTTTGAGGTGTGCGGCGGGATTGCCAAAGGAAAGCATCTCCGTGCGTGTTGGATTCCTGTTCGAGGAAAGAAGGCATAGAGGAGCTCGATCGGCCAATTTTGTGCACAAACCCACAAGGCTGAAGAAAGGAAAGTTGCAACAAAGGAGATCGCATGACAGCAAGTGATTCTCCGCTTTCCAGCGTAATTTAGGGTGTTTCTGCGAGCGCCATTCCATATTAGGGTGTGCATTAGGGTTCTATGGTAATTTCCTGCAACGGCGCGCGAACTCCAATGGTCTCAGTGTGGTTCTCTTTCTTTCTGTGTGTGAAAAAATATTCTATTTTCTTAAAGTTTCTACCTTATTTGCAGTGTTTTCCGAATATCTCTGACTGTTATGTTTTACGTATTCTGAGTGGCATATTTTTTATAATTCCTGAATTGAAATGAATATTGTCTGCTATTATTGCCATGAATAAGGACATATAAAATAGTCTTGTAAAAAATTGTAGAATTGCAATATATAAACCGCAATTATTGTTGTTGCTAATGCTATCTCATCTTTTAAAAAAACTGTTATAATTTTAACTGATGAGTATACTAAATTCACTAAGTATCAGAAATATTTGAATAAATTTTTATCTCCTCATCGAACAGATGGGTGATTGATTCTGATACTACATATCACATGACAGATAATCTTAATATTTTTTTTTATTTTTCAACCACTCAAAATACATTTTCCTGTAACTATTGCTGATGGGTCGACTTATAACATTGTCGGATCTGAGACTACAAACCAACTT